TGTGGGGGGCGGCTGGGATAGGGAGCGGGTGGGCTGCAGGCTGCATGGGAGAGTGAGGGGCTCCCTGAAAGCAGCCTCAGCCATCCCTGGGGCCCCCGGCTCTGGGCTGGGTCCGGTCCCATTGGATCATAGCGCCAGCTAGTGGGGGGGGGGTACGAGGGGCCCCTGCCATCGACTCCCCAAACTGAACCTGTTCCGATGGAGCCCCAGCCCCCGCCCTGACCCACACCGCCCCCCCTCCATCCCAGCCCCCACACTGCCCCCCTCCATCCCAGCCCCCGCCCTGACCCACACCGCCCACCCTCCATCCCAGCCCCCACACTGCCCCCCTCCATCCCAGCCCCCGCCCTGACCCACACCGCCCACCCTCCATCCCAGCCCCCACACTGCCCCCCTCCATCCCCCCCCCACCCCACCATGGGGGTGCTGGGATCCCAAGGGAGCCCCAGGCAGGGCTCTGGTCCGGTCCCTTCTGATTGGCTCCATGGCCGGCGCTAGTCTGGTTAACAGCCTCGCTGCCCGGGGCGCCCCGCCTTGGGGAGGTTCCCACTGCCTGGCTCTCGGCGCCCCCCTGTGGCCACTGCCGTGGAATGTTGTTACCTCGGACGAGCTGCCGACAGACTGGGAGTGGCAGGATGGGCCTTGGCTGGGGTAGGGAGGATGGGTACCAGCCTGCCACCCCCCTTCTGCCAGGGACCAGGTAGACGCCACCCTGCACCTCCACCATAGCCCAGCCGTTCCGAACCCGCGGCCACCTCTTCCTCCCCTCTCCAGAGCACATCGGCTCCTCTCCCGGTCGGCCAGAGGGCGGCGCTGGAGACCCAGACCCAATGCTCCCCACTCCCCGCCCCACCCGCCAGAACCCTGCCTCCTGCTGGCCCGGCGCGCCCGCCCCGGCGCTTGGCGTGATCTGTTGCAATAAACTGAAACCCAAGGCGGTCATGTGGGAAGCCTGGGCTGGAGTGTTTAGCTGGCAACATTGAACATGTCTTTACACGCGTGCTCCGTGCCCGGGAAGGTTGGACGCTCTCGGTGCCGTTCGGCAGGGAAGGCCCAGTGGAGGGACATTTCGTTCTTTTTGAAGGGGGAGCCCCCATGGTTTGCCCTGCCTCTCGCTGTCACCCCTTCGCCCGAGGGCCCCGGCTGCAAACCTTCCCCCCGTCACGTCAGTTCAATGTTAGCACCCCCCTTTCTTCTGCCCTCGGTGGGCGAGCCGTGGGCGCTGGCCCCAGGCCTGGGCGGCTGGCGTTTGCACACTCACTGGTGTCACGACGGCTCGTGAATGGTCGGCGCAGATGGGCAGGGCGGGGTCCTTGACGAGAAAGGGGCTCTCGGTGGGGGGGGGCTTCAAAACGGCTTGGGCTGGCGGGACCCGGGCCGTGACACCTTTCCCTGGGCATGTATTCCTGAAGCGCCTGCACAGGGGCTGACCTGGCCCCGTGGCCCCTGCGGCCGGCTCCTGCTCTGTCCCCGCCCAGCCCTGCGTCCCTGCTTTCCGACTGGAGCCGCGGCTGCCCCCCCGACTCACGCGCTCGGGGGCTCCCCCTCTTTGTGGTTGTTGAATGTTGTAACTTGGTAAAAGAACTTCCTAAATCCACGGAGCCTGGGTCTGTCCTAGGCGTCGCCTCGTGCTGGGCGGGGGCTGCGCCCGGGGTACAGCGAGAACCCAGCTCGGGGACCCCCGAGGGGGCTGGAGACAGCCCTCAGGGGAGCCGAAGCCCTGGGCCGGGATCCTGCTCTGGGGAAGTGGATGGGAAACGTCCCCCCGACTGCAAGTGTGGGCCCCGGCTAGAATGGCCCAGACGCCGTGGGGATGGGCCCCCTCCAAGGCAGCGTGAAGCCGAGCCCACGAAGGAGCTCCTGGCTGAGGGCTGCGGGGGATGCACGGGGTGCTCTCCTCGGGGGCTGGCCGGTGGCGGTGGAGAGAACGCCAGGCTGGAATAATGGGGCTCCGGCTCCTCCCCTGGAGCCAGCCCAGGCAGGACCCAGAGCGCCCCCAGCTGTTCTCCTCAGCTCCAGGTTTCTGGCCCAGCCTGTCCTTGTCCAAGCCCCTCCTGAGCAGGCTCAGGGTCCCGCCTGGACCAGTTTGCCCCCCTCGCACTGTAAGAGCCTTGAGCACGGCCCCCCAAGCCAGGACACTCCCCCTTGCCCCGGGCCGGGGATCGGGGCTATCTGGGCCGGGCCAGGTCAGCTGGGCTGTGAAGTGCTGGCATGAGTCTAGGGTCTCTACTCCCCCCACCCACGGCTGGAGGCTGCTCGGTGGGACCCCGCTGTGGCTGCCGAGGCAGGGGCTGGCTGGCTGGTGAAATGCCCCTTGCGAGGCCGAACCCCCCTCCCCTGAGCTCTGACACGCACGCCCCTCTCTGGCCTGGCACCCGTGCCGAGCACACGGTGTTCTCTGCCGGCTGGCAGGGAGCGGCTCACTCCCCCCGGCCGCGCCAGCCAGGTGCTTCGGGCAGTGCTCAGCTGCTATATTGAGCCGCGCGGGTCAGGCACAGTGTGTGACTGTCTGATGGGGGCTG